GGGGGGGGGGGGGGGGGAGAGGGGAGGACATAGTGAGAGGTACAGCGGAGAACTTATCCCTTTAACCCATTCCTGGATTAAAGGGGTACATGCAGTCCCTGACAATCAGTCCTTCAGCAGAATGCACTCCTCAAGAAAATACATACTCATCCTTGTTCTCTAGGTAAAAATTCCACCAAACTTTGTAGGCTTTCAGTGATTGTTGTACAATGTTCTCCTCCCCTTTAGCAGATGGGTTCATTCCTTCTTTCTTGCATATTTTCAGTTGGATCTCTATGTAAAACAGGGCAATGGAAAGAAACATGTTAGCTCATTTACGTCCAGTGCCAGTGCAGGAATTATTCCCTGTGGTATGTTCTCAAATGCTGCATTCTGTGGTCTATTTTTAAATGATTCAGATAGTGGGGCTTTCCCTGCCTTGCTGGGGAAGACTACACCATAATTAAATTGGCCTCTTTGTAAGGGGATTATGTTATTTCCTGTTGGCCAGTTTGTATTCTCCCTTTGGCCATGGCCCTCTAAATTGCTCTGAGTTATATGGAAGGGTGTTGCCCATTTTTCTTGGTTCTTGTCTGTCAGGCTCAGGTTTTAAGAAGTTGGCATGTACCTAGGTTATAGGTAATATGGTCTGTGATAGCCCTTCATAATATGGTGCTCTCCAGATATTTTGTAATGAGACTGCCACAATTCCTTACAACTGCCCATGCTGGTTAAGGCAGGTAAGGTATTCCAAAACATCTGGAAGACATCACAGAGGGGAAAGCTGGTCTAGGATTTGAATGTTTGAGTCTTAGTTTTTCTCCAGAAATAGTTGTGGCTTTTGTGGTTGTGGGATGAGCCTTACTTTGGCTATGCCCTATCTACTGATACAAGACTCTGCTGTGAAATTTCATTCTCCAGTATTCTCCAAAACTTTAAAAAATCCACTGGAATTGGGGATTGCTGTTTTGGGAATTGTTGCAACAGCCTGTCAATCAATTTTCTGGGAACACTGGAGGAAAATGTGCTCATGATTAGCTGTTATTTTTGAAATTGTAAATTGGCTTTCAGTTTAGATGTTTGTATTTCTGCCCAAAATGTGGGTCAGGTGGGGAATACAGATCCACAGCTGAGCTGTTAGGTATATAAAACTGTATACCATCTAAACTGTGTTTAAATTTCAGCCTAGCCACATAGTTAGAGGGTTGTCTAAGGCAAGTTACTATCATCTGGCCGTTTTTCTGCATCATCAAGACCACTGTTAATAGTGATGGTTGCTTAGCTTTGGGACTGGTCAACTTAATAAGTTCTTAATATTATTAATATAGGCCAAAGTGTTGGGTATGGTGTAATGTGAAACAGTTCTTTGGAAATGGTTTTGTTTGGCATGAACATTCAGTTTGGAAATCACTGCTGATATTTTTTCCAGTATTTTTTGTTCATGTTTTATCTTCCCAAGAGGAAAAAAGATCCGGGCAGTATCTGCAAAACTGCATTTCTCCAGACTGAAATGAATATATATTTAACTCTCTGCAAACAAGCTTACTCTCTTTCAGTGCCATTTATCATTCCCAGACCATCTACTTTTACATGCAGTCTTTTGGTGGGGGGATGGTGGGTACAGGAGATTACTTATTATGTAATTGAAAATACCACAAAAATAGCCTTTGAAAACTCCAGCATCCACCCCCTGATAGGAAACCAGCAAACTAGAAAGGAGGCAGATACTAACGTTTTGTCCCCCCACCTCCTGTCTCTTTAAACATAGGAACTCTGGTCATGGAAGCAAGGACACGTGGTTGATTCTTGGCAGTCGGCAGTCTGTGGAGCATTTGCAGGTGCAAAGGATTATATGTTATCCTGGGAAACACTGAAGAAGAAAGGCCGGGAGGAGGGACAATGTGCAAATCTATGAAGGCGAGCGGCGCAGCAGCATTCTTTTATAACTCCGGTTTGTTTAAAGGGAAGAAAATGGATCGTGCTGTGTGGAAGGGTGGAGCGGGGGGAGGGGTGGTGGGGCAGGGGAGAAAAAGGTGAGGCTAAGGAGCCCAGGCCAGGGTGTCTGTTTGAAAGACAGCCAATTTGTTTTTGGCAAATTTCTGTTATTGAGCAAACAAGGCCTGTCAGTCAACTTCTGGGATTATCCAAAGGTTGGGCTGCAAAACCCTCAACGAGGAGAGTGTGCATCTGGGTGCGGGTTTGTGCAGCTGCCTGCCCTGAGCTCCTCTGCAGGCTCAAGGGCTTTCAGTAAGGCCCATGATTCACTCTTCATGTGACAGCTCTGACAGCCCTCTAGATTAAGGAGAGTCAGGAGAACAGAATGTCAAAGCGCAGCAGCCTCCAGGCGGAAACTTTCCACGGAGGAGAACCGGAGGCTGAAACATCTGGGCAGTCTCCGGACACTATCCCTGGAATGAAGAGTGGCAGGACGTGCTCTTGGATGATTTACTGCAAAACAGGCTGGAAGTTAATTGAATTCTTAAAGAGCCACCTTGCCATATTATAACAGCCTGCTTTAAAATAATTTCCTTTCAGATGTCACAAGTGGCTCATCCCACACATCTGATGAGGAGCAGGGAGGGGAAATGTAATGGTCTGATAGAAATCTCAGATTCGGGGCACTAAGGATTGAATGGCAAAAGCCTTTTTCCAGAAGGAAGCAAAATGTGCAGCCTCAGGTTCTGAAGGTGGAGGGAAGGAAGTTGCAGATAGGAGTAACAGTGATACTTTTGGGTTGCTGCTAAGCAAAACTCACCCAATTTTAATAGTCACCTGATTCCTTTAAAAAAAAAAGTTTAAAAAAGGGCTTCCTCACAAAGTGTAAAATGCAGGTGGTGTTTTTTTAGTAGCCCACTTAGTGGGACTGGTAGTCTATCCATACAACTAATAGTATGTGATAGAATATTCTAGTTAATACCTTCTCTTTCCTCACCGATCCTTTAGCCTTTGATATTGATCCATCCGAAATCCTTGTTGTTACTTCTGTACAGTTAGGCCTCAACACTGTGCTTCAATTATTTTAGCTGGAAGTATGGCCTATTGATGTCTACTCTGGATATCCAACTGTCCATTACCCCCCTTCCGCTCTTGAACATCCCAAGACTCCCCAAAGCCACCTGCTGTTTCCAGTGCTTGGCACTATTTCTTTCTTCCCAATATTTTAGGTTTCCTCCTCAGGATTCTTGCTTTATTTTATAACTTCAGTTGTGCAGTTCTATTTGATATCTGCTTGCTCTCTGAACCAATTATCCCTTTTTATCCTTTCCCCTTATGTTTGGGTTGTGGAAGTGCTATGAAAACATTCACCACTTATATTCCAAGGATGAATTTTAATTGGTAGTCTAGCTGTATTAACTGTGTCCACTTACTTCATGAATACGTATCCCAAATCTTTCAAACTTTTACAAATTAAGACCAGGTTGATGTTTGTTTGTTTGTTTGTTTTACTGATTTACTCTTTCTGCAGTGATAGTCCTCTTAGTGCTCAGAGGCATTTGAAAAGTTCTTAACCTTCTTGTCATTATGGGTGAGATATTTTAAAATCTGGAGTCTTTTCTTAGAAACTAACCATTCATTCAGATACAGAATAAAATATAACTCTTGTCTCAATGATTAAACAGCTGTAGATGCTATAGTAACCTTCCCCAAGCCAATTATGATATACTCCATCATGACCAGCCTGTATGACCAGTTGTCATGGTGATTGGGGATGATGAGAGTCATTCAACATTTCTGGAAGGGGCAAGTTTGAGGAAACTGCTAAATGTAATTATCTTTGCAAATACTAGTTCAGTTATCAGTTCAGTCTTGTACTTACTTACGTTGCGTGAAATCATCTTAATACAGCAGTCTTCTGTCCTTCCTTCATGATATTCCAGACTTCTTCCATGCCTTTATATTTCTATTATTTTTAAACTGTGTACTTAATGTGCTTACTCATTAAAAAGCAAACTGTTCCATTTTTCCATTTTCTTTGCCAATATATGCAAAGTCACTGGAAGAAATTAACAATCTTTAGGTACTTATTAATATTATTACTATTTCAGGCAATGAAATTACTTGCAGATCTCAGCTGTTGTTCCAATTCTGTTTTAAGACTCTGTAATCATTATTTTTTGAAACATTGATCTCAGAAATAGAAAAAGAAATATTTTCCCCTGCCCTTTTCAATGTCATATTGAAATTGAACCACTGTATTAATGAAATATAAATCAGAAGACAACTTTTCTAATATAATGTTTTCACACAGTTTCTATAGTTGCCCTTGGATTATTAGATTTTGGTTGCATTGCTGTCCCCTTTTCTGAATAAAGAGCCCCTTTCTACTAGTAAAGCTGAGTAAAGTTTTCTACAAGTAAAAGCTTCCTAGTTGTTTTTATGAACAACTCAGAGACTTTGTATACATACTGGGACAGACATAATTTGTGGGGTTTTGCCAGGTATTGGAGTTCCCCTTGACTTTAATAAGTTTTTGGAAGCTTGAACTGAACTGGACCTGATTTCTTAGTTCCTATGTAAGGTAAGCTATAAATTATCCTCTTTTTAACAGAAAAAGGAATGCCCTGAAAATAGGGACTGAAACCTCCTGTGTATTCTCTCCTTATGTACCTGCAACAGATTGGGCTGTCTCAATCTTTTCGGTATATTTTGCAAGAGATTGGAGAACAGACTCTAGGCAGAGTGTGATCTTTTTTATCCCCCTTTCCCATGAAAATTTAGCAGCCTAAAATGCTTCATCTACTGAATTATGCATGGGTCATGAAGGGATGACGATGTATAATTATACTTTAAAATTAAACCCTTCTTATAATATAAAATTAATTATACATACTTAAGTAAGATCAGTTGCCTCTGCATTACTTAATTCTGTTACAATTTTTTTGGGAAGGAAAATAAAGATGTATAAACTCAAGCCATGGGCCAATCTTTAATCGAAGCAATGTTGCCAATACCACAAAAAGTATATTCAGACACTATGACTGTCTCAGACTCTCTCTGTGCTCATGTTCTTTGCTCTACCACAAAATTTACTTAAAGTCTTTTAGAGGTCAGAGGAGAGAAAAAAAAAATCAAACAAGGTAAATACACCCTCCGATTTTAATCTCTCATGTTAACCAAAAAAATTACTGACTCCTTTCTTAACCATAAGGTTGTATACTTGACAGAAAAAACAAACATTACTGCTAAGTTAAATCATCAGCGTTGTCCTTTTCTGTTTTTAATGCCTGTAAAACTCGAGTGGTTAAAGTCAACTTTCTATGATGTTTTAGCAGTTTGCAATGTATTTCTTGGTGATGTTTACTGGTATGTTTATAAAGAACAGCTGTTCCATAAAGGTCTAGGAATACAAACTTTAAAATAAAATAAGCCTGTGATCAAAGAATTGTCTGAGTGATTGAAATCAATAAATGAAAATATGAACAGGTTCCACCACTACCTTCTTTGTCTTCCATATACTGTCTGCTGTCGATTCTGTTCTTCTCTACCTCCTGGAGTCTTTTTAGATTCTGCCGACTCCTATCTCCAAGATACATTCAGTTTTAATTCCAGCCAAATTGACACCTTTTTTTCTTTTCCAATAGCAGGTAGAATATGTATGAACATGAACAATTATTGAACATAAACCCATGGATGATCTTTATTGAAGTCAGATAATCTAATGATAATCTAATTGCCAGACTACAGAGTTATCAAAATTGCAAGTAATAGTAGACCTGTTCTTTTACACTATTAAGTTTTCATTATTATTATTTATTATTATTGCTAAACGTGCAACCGGACACAAAATCTGTAGTACAGGAACATACTGTACATACAGTTCCAAGAATATTTGTGCAATTGTGGTCTATTTCTATCAGAAAAAAATGACATTAAGCACTAAGATAAACCCTAAAAACAAAAACAAAAAAATGGATGGGTGTGCTTTAGTGGTATGCTCTTTCCATGCATATTATAATCACAAGCTACAATGTATTCCCCGTCACTGGAAAAAATCCTGTTGGAGTGTGGAATGCCCCAGTATGTAATCTGGGAAAGTGTGTTTTAAGTTTATTTTCTGACTATAATCAATGATACAGAACTATTATTTTGAATCTTCAGAGAAGTAAAATAGATCTCTCTCCTTCTCCAGAAAGTCAGTTTTGCACAGTACACGTCCTTGTTTAACATTCACTCGTCCTGTGATTGTTTGAAGTTATGACGGCACGGAACGAGGGGTATTTATAACACATCCTCAAAGTTGCAGCTGTCGCAGCGTCCCCACGGTCACCTGATCACGATTCGGGCACTTGGCAACCAGCTGACAATCATGTCACAGCATCCCATGGTCATGCAATCACCACTTGCAACCTTCACTGCCAGCTTCCGACAAGCAAAGTCAAGGGGGAAGCTGGCAGGAGTTTGGAAATGGTAATCACATGACTGCAGGATGCTGCAACTGCACAGGATTCACCGAACAACGGCACCGGGGACTGCTGTAACTGCTGTTAAGTTGGCACGGTCATGTGATGTTGTGCCTTATGACTATGTTGCTTAGTGACAGAGTTTCCAGTCCCAATCACCATCAGTAAGTGAGGACTATCTGTGAAAAGTAAAAGTCAAAAGCTTTGTTCAATCAGAAGTTCTTAAAGACTTTCATTATTTATTATTTTTTTATATTTCAAATTCAGTCACTGCCCATCTCACTCAGAGGTGCAAGTAATAGTAGACCTGTTAAGAGGCCGAAGGTGCTTGTGAACCCAGGACTGCAAGCACCCCCGAAACAGTTGCATCTAATCCCCAAAATCTCCAAAAGAGTAATTAAATCTTTATACTTAATTATAATTAAGTACGTTTAAGT